CAGCCAAATGTGACAGAGGGGTAGCAAAGTCCTCCATAACCAGAGGAGATAAATACTTTCTTTTTTTAATATATACAAAGAATACCCAACCTCCTGAGCGAGGCTCTGCACAGGTAAGCTCCCCTGGTCCCATCAGGCACCCTTCTATGATGGGGTACCCCTAGCTGTTCCAGCTGTGTAGCTGATGACAGCAGGCAGCTGCTTCGAGGAGAGTAACTGGTGGCACCTGGACCTTAGAAAAGATAAAAGGTGACATACTACGAGAAACATAAGAGGAACCACCAGAGAGCTGCTCTGAACACCCCACCTGTGAGAAATGCCTCAGTTGGAATCTGCAATTAGCAACACATCTACAAATCTTATCACAAGCTGCAAACCCATCAGTGACCACCTCCGCGAAGAACCACCCACTTAAGAAATGAAGATGGGCCAAGGTTGCAAGTGGATGACCCCATCTAGCCTGGCCAGCAGTAATCAGCAAATATCCACTGTAGCCCATCTAAACCAGCCTGCCGAGGTGCAGAGACCATGCCCATTCCTCACTGGCCCTTTATCTGGCAGTCAGGATGCGTGCTAACCAGAGTACAGCTAGGAGAGACGTGCCTATACAGGCTGAAAGCATACCATTATTTTACCATGAAGATACAGCTTAGTAATTGAGGATACTTTGTGCCTAAAAAGTACATTTCCTTTCAAGCTACCAGGTTTGCTCCTAGTAAATGAAAAAATGTTTCTGTTGTCTTCAGCTAAACAGTAGTAGGCAATTATGTATCTTAATTTATAGGGGTGTGAGGATGAAAGGTGTTTTCTGAGGAATTATCTAGCTTAGAAGCTCGATTGCCCTGACACTTCAGTGTTTATGTAAAGACTAAACTTCAAACGGCCTTTATTTTGCAAAATCTCACCTCACTCCGTCCCTAGCTGATTAGTACAGATTTTCTTGTTTGTCCCATCTTACATCATTCGTGTGCTTTCCTAGTAAGAAAATTTACACATAAGCGTTCCAGATTTATACCAGTTTGGGCGATTTCTGCACCTGGTAAACCGGTATTTTTGAACTTATTTAAAATTATGATTATGCAATTGTATATAACCTATACAAGTGTAGTGTATAAACAGAGATGTCCAAAACTGTGCTCACCTAGTTTTGTCTTAGTTACTGCAGTAAACATAGGTTGGAGAGGTACACTGTACTTAAAGTCAATAAATTAGCTGAAAGGAAAGGGCTAGCCTTTCAAGCTCTTCTTCAGACTAGAGATAATGAACTTTGAACAGCCAGCACTTGGGGCTATAAAATCCTACTACAGGCAAATTCTCACCCAACTTGATGCAATTTGTGAATTAGCTTACACAGAATCAGAAAGGCCCATTAACACATACGTGAACAGTGATGAAAGGCCAGAGTTCTGTGAACAGCTTGCTTTTTACTCAGAAACAAGATGTCCTGCCTGCCAATCAGCCAATTGTGATGCTCAAGAGCTTTCTGCTGAATTTGCAAAGCTTGTGCAGCTTTCAACCTCTCTGCTAAATTTGCCACTGAACATAAAGCACACTGATGCAGCCATGCCGCATCACGTACAGCTGCATCCTACTTTCCTCCCCATCATATGCTCAGCGTTATAACATGATCCAGTTGGTGCTTCCGGCAGGGAAGAAAGCCTCACTCTGCCTGCTCCCCAACTTTTGCCTTGACCAGGAAATGCACCCCCTGAAATCCAAAGCAGACTGTCAAAAGGTGGTGGGCAACCATCTTGAATTTCGTGGGGGATGGGAGGTTTTGCTTTTTTGGACATTGTATTTGTTCCTTCAATATTTTTTTTCTTAAAGTAAGAATCGAGCTGCTCCACGCATATCCCTGTGGACTTCTATATCCCTTGATAATGCATTAGGGCTTCCCCCTCCCTGCAAACATTAGGTGCCAGATGGGAACAGAGCAATCAATGTGAGGCAGCAGAATGGGAGGAATCCCTGTTCCAGGTTTCAGCCCAGGCCTGAGCCTGCCTGTTCTTAGCCTGTGAGACAAAAGCGCCAAGCACATCTTCACACATCCTCTGCAAGCTGCTCCTTAGGGAAAGGAGATAGGAGGCTTTGGCCCATAGAACTGTTAAGAAGGGCATAGAAATTCTAGCACCTGTCAAATAACCAGAAAAAGGCAA